AGTACACTTCAACAATATTCGATCGTTCATGAATTTCCGAAATATACGAATTGACCATCGTGTCGTTATACAACGAATTCATAGACGTATCTCACTAAAACCTCACCACAACATGAAGCTGGTTGGCATTAATTTTGGGATTGCGCACGAAAGTTAGGGAATTTTTAGGATGAAACTCACACCACGGAATTCACTCGCTTCAGGAACACCATTCAACCAATGTTACCAAGTGATTAAGATCGAATTCACCATACGTAAACATCTCCACTAAGACGAAAAACTAATTCAGAGTTGACTAACTACTCAACACACCTTACGAAAATGTCGTATCGCGGTTAAATGTACCTACAATAACCAACCGCACACCGAAATAAGTGGTGTTTGTGCAATCGCCACAATGAGCACTATCACTGATCACTTCGAATACACGAAGATGATTAAAATTCTGAGAGCGTTATTCATTACACAGACATATACACTTGCTAACTAAACATAAGTCAGTATCGTCATTCACTCGGCACACAGCTCTGTTGCTATTGATAGGGTCTTCATGAGGCAACCGCCTTAAAGATCAGTGGTTTCTTGTCGAATGGCTATCTGTCTCAAATCAAATTCAATAACCGAAGTGGAGATACTGTGAACTACAGTACGTAATTGTTTACCTGAGATGCGTGTAAATTAACGATTGACAAATACATTCGCCGATTCGAGCCTACTACTTTGTTACAAATTTTCTAAACACCAACCACAGTATCAGCTTGAGGAACTGAGGACTATGTTATAGACATCAAACCGACGCGTATTTTCACCATTTTTTATAGTGAACGAAGAGATTTCTTGTTAAGGTGAATTTTCTAATGATTACTATTGGTATGTTACTTGATTTGGCCGCATCGCGGTCTTAGACAACGATAACTGACAGCGATATTTCATGTCAAAATTACTTAGTAATCTTGAGACAAAATTAGTGTCAATTACAAAAAATAATGTCGTATATCTGAATTCATACAATCAGGAAATTCACATATTTCAAGGTTACATGATATATAGTGAAGATTGAGATGATTTATCATTTGTTTGTAGTTATGAATATACCAGGGAATCAATGAAGCTCAATTTACATAAGAATGACAAAAGTGAAACAACGAGAATGACAATATTGAATTTCAGTGGAACTGATATTTATGGTAATACGAAGTTGAATACATGATTATTAACCATTGCACAATTCTTCAGGCAGTAAAAAAGCATCGTTTAATAAAAGCCAAAAGGAAATAAAACGAAACTGATAAATATCACAAACTGTTATCCTTGTAGTTAATACAACACAATTTTGTACTTCTTTATTTGGCGAACCACAAACCAAGTTATGATAACGGTTAACAACTGGAGGAAGCATACACCAAATGCAACACAAGCAATAACTATCAGGTTGCGTTTTAAGAATGCTGCGAAGATAGACGCACACCCCTAGAAATGATAAAAGGGAAATTATTACCATACGATATATGGATGAGTAGTAAAATCATTTGAGATATATGTTAGTTCTATACCTGCAGTTTATAAATAGTGTATTAGAACTGATAGAGTTTCAAGTCGCAAGGGTGGAGGCATGATATTATACGTTAGGGATCAATTTTGTATACAATTAATCAAATCAGAGGCGCATGTTAATGGTAAGTTTGAGGTAGCATGTTGCACAATTAAGTCCAGAAAGGGGGTAGTGACTGTAGGAGGAATATACCGTAGACCGTGTTGTCTTGCTGACGACTTTATCTTTAGACACATCTGATCTTGGAGTATGGCAGAATGTTGTCTCATCATTGAAAACTTCAACGCACTGCATATCAACTGGATAGCGCTTACAGCTCCAGGTGAGGGTTTGTATAGCGACCTTCTATCAACCATTATTCAGTGTGCACTTGTACAATGTATCGAAAAACCGACACATATTGACTCGGAACATGACCCGTCATTGCTGGACCTTGTCCTCACACACCATTGTGGGGATGTCATCGACGTTCAGCACCTTCCCCTCACTAGTGAATAGTAATCACGTTGTACTGTACTTTAAGTTTAGGACACATGGCATACAATTTGTATCTGCTCCACCCCGTCCCGATATCTGGCGAGCTAATATTCCGGCAATCAGGGACTGTGCTATCTCGACTAATTGGTCGGTTGACGTGGATGGATCGATCGAGACGAATGGAATAAGTTTATGGTTACATTCGAGTCCGTTACATCACCGTTTATCCCATGGTCAACACGTAAGCTAACACATTGCCCACCATGGATTATTAAGGAAACCCGGAAGCTGTTGAAGCGTAGGAAACACTTCTGGGACTTGTTCTTGTCAACAGGACGTGCATCATTTAAGTGAGAATATCAGGAAGTCCGGAATATCTATAAAAAGACCATAGCTAAATCCCGTACTACTTACGAACGACAGTTGGCATATGATAGTCGTACTTGTCCGGAACCACTGTTTTCTTAGGTTAAACGGCGAATATAATGTAGTGATGGTATTCCCCCACTACTGTTACACGAAAATTCAGATTTACTAGCTGAATCAGATCGGGCAAAAGCTGAGACTTTCAAACTATTTTAGCAAAGTCTACTCTACGTGTATTGTTAAAAATACTCGTCCCAATCACAACGAGATACCAGCCAGTGAATCTGTACAGGTGACTGAGGAAACTGTTCTTCCATTGATAACTAACCTCAAACCTTGTGAGATACCGGGCCCTGACGGGTTACATCCACGACTGCTGTCATCTCTTGCGGACATTATTTCAAGACCGCTCGCGACGCTCTTCAACATAACCCTTTCACCCGCTCAACTCCCTAGAGATCGGAAAGACGCTATAGTCAGTGCTATATTTAAGGATGGTCAGAGGCAGATAGTATCTAACTACCGACCTGTCAGTCTAACTAGCATAGTCGTTAAGTTACTTGAAAAGATGATTCGGGTTAACTTACTAAGTCACATAGATTCACACAATTTGTTAGCTCCTGAGCAACATGGGTTTTGTAGCAAGCGTTCGTGCTTGACTAACTTACTTATTGCGAGAGAGGATTGGACAGCAGCCCTAGATAACGGTCTGTCTGTCGATGTGATATTTATAGATTTTAGCAAAGCATTTGATAAGGTTTCACACTTAGGTCTTATGCAGGAGCTCTCCAGCTTCGGAATAATAGGTGCTGTACAGGAATGGATAGGAAACTTCTTATGTGACTGCAGACAGAGAGTGAGGGTCAATCGAATGCTATCCGAATGGAAGCCGGTCAAAGTGGTGTATCCCAAGGCACTATCTTAGGCCCTCTACTTTTCCTTCTCTACGTTAATGAATTACCGCTGTTGCTTAGGTCGTTGACATTATTGTTTGTGGATGACGTAAAAATCTGGAGAGCAATAAGAAGTGAGGCTGATCATTTGGATCTCCAAGCTGACTTAGACGATTTAGTTAGATGGGCTCGAGGTTGGGGCTTAGAATTCTAGGAAGTGTGCTCATGCACATCGGTCACGGTAAGAGTCACCATTATACTATTGATGGTACGTCTCTTCCACGCGTTCAAGAACTTAAAGACTTAGGAGTAACAATAAGTCATGAGTTGAAAACAACTACGCATTGCAACGCAGATGCTGTCAAAGGTTTTCGTGCGTTATGGTCGCTTCTCCGAGCATTAAAACGCTTTGACGAGGAAATGTTTCGAATTTTATATCCCACCTATGTAATACCACACTTAGAGTACTGTATCGAAGCAGCTAGCCCATGTCTGGTAAAGGATACTAACTCATTTAAGCGTATCCAGCGTGTGGGAACGAAATTAGTGAAGGGTGTTTCTAAACTCCCTTACGATGAGCGTTTACAACGCCTAAACCTTTTCCCCTTGTCGTATCGTAGGACACGAGGTGACCTTATACTGGCATTTCGTATCTTTAGTTATGATTTGGGTGTTAACATATCTTATCTTTTTGCTCCCTTCAGCACTAATAATCTCCGAGGTCATAGCAATAAGGTTCACAGACAACGATCTAATAAACTTAAAGTGGGGTCTCGTTTTTTTCATCGAGTAGTCAATGACTGGAACGCCTTACCCGAACAAGTGGTATATCTTCAAGAAGCTGGACCTTCACTGGAAGGCAATCTGTCAGGATTAACACAGGCTTACCAACCTACCATCCTTATTACTGAATACATAATCAGTAAAAGCACTAAAACACCTAGTATTTCGTTTGCATTAACGTTGCTTTGGACGATTAGGTCGATTTAGAGAGTCAAATCCCAAGCAGAAGAATAAAACATAATTTAACAAAATGTCCATAAAAAATCTTAAACCTGGATTATTGAGATTTCGTGCATTTTGAAGGAGTGGAAACAGACAAGAAAAGGACTGAGACTTAACAAACATCAAACTATGGGCACACAATGACCACAGTGATAGTCTTGTGCAATACCAAAAAGATAAACAACATCCTCAGCCTGCAGTTTAAACCAGCACTTAAGAGAACAGAAGCACTCCAAATATAATTCAGGTTCTATATATATATTCGTCTTGGTGGCGGTTACCATGAATCTTGTGATGACTCATCAGGCTTGAGTCTTGGCTTAATCGTTAACAAATTTTGCCACGATCAGATAATCTAGTTTTCATCAGTTGTCTTGTACTTCATCAGGTCTGTGGCAAACAGGTAAAACTTTACATCTATACACAGAAACATCACGAATGACTTACACAGAATCCAACGACTTTACAAATAGAAATCTTCCTGTAAATACCCAGTTACACCAAATTAGCATGGAATAAACTGTTGGTACGAAAGTTGAGTCATATATAGCTTGACAGCCAAATCCTGATTTAAAAATTCTATGAACGGCATATTTATTTCTACAAATAATATGTCGATTCATTACTAATATCGTAAGCGCAGTCGAATAAATTACACTCAATAACCAGTACTTGATAAACAAGTATTTAAAACAACTAAGACTTACTTCCTTGAAGACTGTTCCATCCTTTATGCATGAATCTGGGGGTCCTTTTTTATAGTCTTTAGGACCTTTGACTCCACAACATTGAAACTACAGCAGTTAAGATGTATTTATGACTTACTGATGATTGAATCAAGTCCATGAATAGAGTTACCTCTTTAGTAGGGTTATTTATGGCACTAGTCATGGATTTCTCAAGTCTTTCATCAATCTCTTGCCTGTAAACAAACGCGAAAATGGGGACGGCCAATTCAGAAATCAGAAGTACGATGAGGAGGAATGAATACTACAAACTGTGTCTTAGCTAAAGTAACTTACCAAATACAGCATATAAACATTTTCCTTTATAGCCCCACAACAGCCCAAAAAGCTCACTATAAGAACTATCGCTCCAATAATAATTATAATGATGGGTAATGCTTGCCAGACACTGTGTAAGTTGTCCCCATATTGGCTAAATTTAACTTGTAAATATACACCAGTTCCAATCAGAGCAACGGAACACAGCTAAAGGCAGAAAAATAAAATAATCGAGTATTATTACTAGACAGATAGTGTTCATAATGAACAAACTGCTCTTTAGGAAGCCCATTCCAGACGACTGAGATACTGTCTTCGCGTATAAAACTAACAAACGAAAATCGCTCCATTTATATTAAGTTTTTGTCAGTAGAACAATCAAACAAACAACTAAGGTGTTCAAAAAGTTGGGGGGGGAGAAGAAGCTCTTATCTAACGGGCGTCTGTCTCTAGTAGCAGTGAGTTATTGATGCTTTCAGGTCGAAACCTAAGTATATTACTGATAAAATAGAAAAAAAGTATTATTGATGTAGTGGTAAACAAAACCGAAAATAAATAGCTCTGTATGTTTTCGGCATTAGATGCTGACCACATTAGTTTTAATGGACTCACCTAGCTGAAGGCGCTCGGTCATGCATCCGCACCAGATCACGAGTGGGAACGCCGTGCTCAACAACCCCTGCAATCACTAGCCAGATTAGATCAGTCGATCCACGATATATTGGTAGCCTATCAAATATATCTTCGAACCTCCTCACCTCTGTCTTTTGATTTCACTTGGTGGGTACGATTCATACTAGAAGGTGTTACTCGTTGAAGCGTTGTCGAAATCCAAATATCTGTGGCGTCTTCATTGGTGAGCCCGACGTGATCTGGTACACCAAATCGCAAACTGTGAGTCTGTCCCTTTTTGGCATTTTATATATTATTTTAATTTCTATATATTGTGATATTTTCTCCGTGGTTTTGGATATTTATATATTTATGTCACTCGTTCGTTTTCGTATTTGATGTTTCACCATGACGGAACAGACACCCAAGGTACTTAATTTAGAGACTATGTCCCCACCTTCGTTCCAACTAATGCCCTTCTGGCCAGACAACATCGAAGCCTGACTCTGTTATGCAGAGGCCGACTTCTACGAGCACGGCGTGAACGACACACGTGCACAATTCCTGGCAGTAGTCAAGGCACTGCCGCGCGAATTCAACGAGTAAGTAACGTTTGATATGTTTACTAGTGATGTCTCTGAACCCTACGAAACACGAAATCTTCTAATGCCGAGGATTTTTCAATCAAAGAAAACCCTCGAACGACCCCGAATGACATAACGGAATTGTGTCATACATATACACGTTATCCTAGATTTCGTAACGACCTTAAACGGTCACATACTCGACGAAGAAGCACTACACATAAGCGATCTGTCTCTAGAGCACGAGGGACGGATAACAGCGACTGGTGCTGGTATCAAAACCAGAATGGAAAGTCCTCCAGAAATTGCAGAAAACCCTGCAATTTTCGAACTCAAAATCCACCGACACGAAAACCAGTTCGGGGAACTTCCCAGCCGACACGCGTCAACTGCAACCGTAGCCGGCGAACATAGCCGTCTGTTATACGTCGTAGATGTGATCACGATAGCGCACCAGCTGGCTCCCGAAAAATTGAGATTGGCTAAAAACGAATTAGATCACATGATAGAGTTAGGGATCATTCGATCACCAAAAAGTTCATGGGCATCTCCGTTACACGTGGTCTCTATAAAGGACTGCAACGATTAGCGTTCAACTGGTGACCATCGGTGACTGAATGTAAATAACCGTTCCCGATCGTTACCCATTGCCTTTCGGTCTAAGAAACGCTGCCCAAACATTCCAAAGGTTCATAGACGAAGTTTTTCGAGGTCTCAACTTCGTACATGCGTATGTTGACGACTACTTAATAGCAAGTTCGAACATAGAATCGCACCCCAGCATCTGGATCTTGCTTTCGAAGGACTAAAAAAGCATGGCATCACTGTAAACACTCAGAAATATCGGGTCGAAACCAACTCCTTAGATTTCCTAGGATACACTATTGATGCGCATGGCATTCGACCTCTGAAAAACGAAGTGGCAGCCATTCTGGATTACCCGGAACCGACCTCGATCAAGCAATTACGCAAGTTTAACAGCCTTTCAAGTTTCTACGGACGGTTCATACCAACATGCGCATCCCTTATGAAACCGTTAACCGGCCAGCTTCGTGGAAATGCGAAATCCATCAATCTGGACGATACCGCGCAACAAGCATTCTCCACAGTTGAGGAACGTATAGCAAAGGCGACTGTGCTCGCAAATCAGGACACTCAAGTACCCATTAGTATCTCAGTAGACGCATCCGACTCAGCAATCGGAGGAGTCTTACAACAATGGGTTAACCACTCCTGGCAACCTTTAGCATTCTTCTCGAGACGGTTGATAGACACTGAATCGAGGTACAGCACATTCAGTTGGGAACTCCTAGCTACGTATTGTGCTGTACGGCGTTTTCAACACTACATCGAAGGCCGTGAATTCACTCTTTTTACTGATCATAAACCACTTGCTTTCTCTCTATGCTTCTCTTTAGACAAGAACTCACCATGTGAGTGTCGACAACTGGACTACATTTCGCAGTTTACTTCAGATATTCAGCGCATTTCTGGGGTAAACAATATAGTCACAGCCGCCTTGTCTCGAATAACTTCCTTGAACAGTTTCCGAGAAATCGAATTTCCCAAACTCGATTAGCTTCAAAAAGAAGACATTGATCTTCAGCGCGAGTTACCTTCAACAACTCTTAAACTGCAAATCAAACAGATGGTAACAGGTAAGAAAACTTTACTGTGACACGGTTTCGGCACTGTTTGACGATCCCTACCTTTAGATGTGTCACAGTAACGTTTTCTTACCTGTTACCATCTGTTTAATTCGCAGTTCAATGACTGTTGAGGATAACTCACACTGAAGTTCAATGTATTCTTTTTGAAGCTGGTCGAGCTTAAGAAGGTCGATTCCTTGGTAATCGTTTAAGGGAGTTATGCGAGACAAAGCAGCTGCAACTGTATTTGTAGCCCCACAAATGTGCTGTATATCTAGAGTAAACTGCGAAATGTAGTCCAGTTGTCGAGATTCTCGAGAGCAGTACCTCTTTGAAGACGAGCTAAGGGGAGTGAGAGTGAATTCTCAGCCTTCCACAGAGTGCCGAGAGTGCTGTACAGTATAATACCATGTCTAGGAGTTCCCTATCGAAGGTACTGTACCTCGATTCAATTTCTTGCAACTATCTATGAAAGAATGCTAAAGATTGCCAGGTGTCGTTAACCCACTGTAGTAAGACTCTTTTGATTTCCGAGTCGGATGAATTTACTGTGATACTACTGATGCTTGGATGTCTTATCTTGGAAGCATGGTTGCATTTGCGATAAGTTCTCTAATTTTGTAGAACGGTTTTCTCGCGATATCGACTAAACTGATGGATTTCGCATTCCTACGAAGTTGGTCGTTTAGAAGTTATTATTATTATTCACAAACATCTTATGGGTACATAAGTGTTGTGAAGAAACCATTTCAGGTTTCTTCAGAAAATGCAGTAGTACACAATTTTCAATAATGTTAGCATTACACTTGCCATATTTAAAAACAAAAATTTAGAGTAATAATAGTAGAATATTAATAACAATAATAAATCGGGTATGTGTAATTGAGAAGAATATTGAATTGAGTTTAAAGAGAAAATAAGGTAATGGAAATAAAGGAGACGTGAAATACGCAAACAGTTTAATTAGCGTGTTTATGAACATAAAACAAGAACAAACGACTATGTATATATCGTCAAATTAGTAGCCAGAAATAATTGTGGTTTGGTGTGTGACAAAATCTCAGCACGGATACAGAGGGCTCGACTAGCTTTTACCAACTTGCGCCATTTATGGCGTAGGCGAAATATCCGTCTATCAACCAAAGGACGTGTTTACTGTGCAACAGTTCGTTCCATCCTAATTTATGGCAGTGAAATATGGCCGGTAAGAGTAGAGGATATTCGTAGGTTACTAATATTTGATCATAGGTGTCTACGAAACATTGCTCGTTTGCCCTGGGATCATCGAGTGAGTAATGCAGTTGTTAGGAGACGGGTACTAGGTAAGGATGGCAAATCAATTGATGAAGTAGTGAAACTTCATCAATTGAGATGGCTGGGACACGTGTTACGTATGCCCAACCACTGACTGTGCCGACGTGTGATGTTGTAGTGGCATTGGACAATAGCCACACAATCCGCAAAGCTGTGAACACGAGACTACTCAGAAAATAGATATTCAATATTTAGCGCGCAGAAATACCTAACAATGGAGAAGGCGCGAACAAGGAATTGAATGGACTGGGTTTGATCGGATGGCATGGCTCGTCCATGCAGGCATGGTCCATCTCAATGTTACTTTATATCTTCTATTCATATTAAATATATTGTTCCTTCTCTATCCTAACCGTGTTCTACATCATGTATTGGTAATTGATACGATACACTGAGTTGGTGTAGTCGATGGTGTGACTTCCACGTAAGATCTTATAGATTAGGCAGTTATATCATGACAAATCTACAAATTTAGGATTAGGTCTATTACTAGAGCAGTACTAATATCATAGTAGACCATAGTTCTACAATGTTTTATGGTTTAGGAGTAGGTTGGAAGAAAGCTAGGGGCTGCTAGACCAGAACATGATACAAATCCATGAAGTCACTGACAAGTGAACTGAGTGAGTCAAGTTGGTAGGTGTAGATTACGTGGTTGGAGACCGCGAGATGATAGCAACCGATGGTTAGAGACCCTGAATGACATGGCTCAAAATCGTTTGCAATGGCTCAGGTACATCCATTCTTTGTGTTCTCCCAAATTCTAATCTTCTGAATTCTTGATATCCGTTTTCTTTTACTCTTTCCAAATTTATTTCACTGGATTATACTCTTTACATAACATCTTCCAACCCTAATCTTTCCGATTACT